AGTGGATTTTGTTATTATTAAAATAGAACTATAGTAAAGAAGGATAGATTGGGGGGGGAATCAAAGGGGGGAAAAGGAGAAACATCTGTAACAAAAATAAATTAATTATTTTTTTAAAAGATAGATTGTTGTCAGTCTGGAGGCAGGGGAACAAGTTAGGAGATTAATGGAATAATCCAGGCAAGAATTGAAGGCCTGAAGTAACCATAGGTAATAGAGATGGACAGGAACAAGTATCTAAAGACTATGATGGATTGGATTGAGAAGGAATTGAGATTGACCTCCTGGTTTTCAACTTGTGTAACTAGGCGGATGGATAAGATTCCTCTTGATGGGGAATACAGAACAGAAATAATCTGTTTGGAAAGGACAGCAGTGAGTTCCATGTGGATAGATTGATTTAGGAACCTGTTGGACATCCAGTAGGCTATAGGATATATTGGGTTGCACATAAAATTTTGGGAGTCATCAGCATATAAGTAAAACCATTAAAGTGACAAAATTGCCCCCGAGAGAACATTTAGAACAGGAATTTTTAACTTGAAATCCAAATAGCCTGAAATTACCCAAAATATTACACATGAGACTTTCGTTAAGGAAAGGTTCGTAGCTTTCTTCGGATTGTCAAAAGGGGCAATCATTTATTTAGTGTGAAAGGAGCCAAAGACAGAGCCTTTAGTATCTGCATTGTTTTTAAATGATGGGCAGGGATAGTGATCTCAGCAAAGAAGGCAGAAAAGGAACTAGTGTGTAGAGAGAATTGTGATATCAAAGCCCAAGGAGAATAGTCAAAACAGATGAGGACTAAAGAGTCATTGGCTTAGCAATTAGAAGATTGGTAAAATAATTCCAAAACAATATAGAATTAAATGTATTTGTATTTAATGAAGCTCCCCACAGTAACACCATGGTTTCTACGAATTGTAAAGAACATTAGCCTATAATAAAAGTTCAGATGCCTTAGTCAGGTGTCCAAGACTTTGTTAAATTTTCTCTTGCCTTTCCATTACAGTTTTATCTCTCACTTTAATATCTGAAATTTAAAACTAACCAAATCCATCTCTTCATGTTTTCTGAATACTTCATGCAGATCTTAGCTTCAGGCTTTTTGCTCCTGTTTTTCAGCCTGCCTGCCCTGTTCCCAACAAATTCTATCAGTCTTTCACAGTAAAGTTTGTTCTACTTCTTTTGTGCCTTTTTCTGATTGACCTATAGTAATTTCCCTCTTTATAGTCTAGTGGTATTTATTGTCTGTTCATTTTTGCAGTTAAAATTGTACTGTTTTGCATTGTTACTTTTGTTTTACATATTATTGCCTTCTTTTTTTCAGTGAGATTTTTCTTCTGAAGCTAGTATTACCTTACATTTCATCACACTCTAGTGACCGAATTTTCACATATTCATTACAGATACTAAAATATTTGAACGAATTTAACCTATGGCAAAATAGGGGGAAATGTCTTTAAGAAAAAATTCATATGATGCAATTCAAATTATACAGGAGTTATTTATGGATTATTATTATGAATTCCATTTCTGTGGGTAATCAAGAGTTGATTGTATATCAGAATGAATAAGATACTGACATAAGATATGGGTCTTATAAACTTTTGGCTTTTATTTGGAATTTTAGGGTGTTGAGTCAATCGAATTTGTTAAGTCAAACTTTTTTCTGTTTAAAGTTTTTTTCAAAATGCAAACATCTCTTGGATTTTAAAAGAAAAATACGCATATAAAATAAAAGACAAGTCTACAAAGTAGAAATTGCATATTACTAATATTTTATACTGTTGCCAAAGACATTCATGTTTTATAAGCATCTTGACCATTCATAAGTTATGTAGGTACCAGTGTGATTAAATACAAAGCTTAGTCACTAAAAATGCAAGTAACTCATTTTGGGAGCAAACTTCAGTGATATGGTCTTTTTAGTTTTGCTGAAGGATGAATTTAGCTTAATCATCTGACTTGAAACCAGTGTTTCTGTTTCTTTCATTTTTTGCTGGCAACTTTTGGCACAACCCAGGGCTGTAGCAGGAAAAGAAGATAAGCAAGGTTGCATTGCTTTGTTCTAGAATCAGAAAAATTAAAACACTTTTATAATTAAGGGAAATAGATGTTAGATACTGCCAAGTGGGTCTCATTGTTCTTGAGCAGATATCTGCTCAACAACAATCCCAAATTTTAGTTACCTGACAGGAGGGAGAAATCCATGTTACATCTTAGTGAGCCAAATTGACTAACAAATATGTCTAGGCTTTTTTTTTTTTTTTCAGGAATCACAATATAGATTTCTGTGGAAGTGCAGTTTTTGTGCTTATCCTCACACCATAATTTAAGCACTTTTTAAAAAACAAAACATTTTGACCATTTTTATAAAGAAGCAAAGTTTTTTCTTTTTAAAAGATCTTTTATTTTTCTGTTGTAGTTGATGTACAATGTTATATTAGTTTCAGATATACAACTCTGTGATTAGACATTTTTATAACTTACAAAGTGATCACCCTGATAAATCTAGTACCCACCTGGCACCATAGTACATAGTTATTACAGTATTATTGAATATATTTCCTATGCTGTACTTTTATATCCTCATGACTATACTGTAACTACCAATTTGTACTTCTTTTTAAAAATTTATCATTATTGTTTTTTTCCAATTTTTATTAATTCATTTTTGTTACAGATGAATTTATCTTTATTGTTGAAAGTATTAACAGATGTCCTCCTTTTTTTCTCCATTGACACCCTCCTCCTCACTCTCATCCCCCCTCCCCACCTTCACCACACTGTTGTCTGTGTCCATTGGTTATGCATATATGCATGTAAGTTTTTTGATTTATCTCTTCTCCCCCGCCATCCTCCACCCAACCCTTCCCTCTGAGATTTGTCAGTCTCTTTCCTACTTCCATGTCTCTGGATCTATTTTGTTGGCTTATTTTGTTCATTATATTCCACAAATAAATGAGATCATGTATTTGTCTTTCTCTGACTGGCTTATTTTGCTTAGCATAATGCTCTCCAGTTCCCTCCATGTCGTCTCAAAGGGTAAGAGATCTTTCTTTTTTACAGCTGCATAGTATTCCATTATGTAAATGTACCACAGCCTTTTTAACCACTCATTGACTGATGGGCACTTGAGCTGTTTCCAGATCTAGCACTGCTATGAACACGGGGGTGCATATATTCTTTCTGATTGGTGTTTCAGGATTCTTAGGAGGTGTATTCCTAGAAGTGGGATCACTGGGTCAAATGGCAGTTCCATTTTTAATTTTTTGAGGAAACACCATATTGTTTTCCACAGTGGCTGCAGCAGTCTGCATTCCCACCAACTGTGTAAAGCAAAGTTCTTTTCATAAACATTACTGTTTGTTGCATAGGAATATAACAAACATTAAGATGAAGATGGTGAGGAGAAAATAAGCTCACTCACTAAGTAGATCTACTCCTTCAAAGCTATCTCAGTGTTCCTCAGCCCAATTCATGCCTCCTTACTATGTCTAACATCACATTTCCTAGACCTTCCAGGTCATTTGGCCTTATTAAATTATGAATCATAAAACAGCTGTCACGGACATTCTTACTTTATAATAAAAACTTTATTAAAAATTTTAGGGAAAAATAAATGTAGCACAGTTAAGATTTTATTATCTATTAATTAAAAATGGTAGAATGCAAATTAATTCTTTTCATATTTTATCCTCACACGAGGACATTTTTCCATTTTTGTTCAGATAGAGTGGGAGGGAGAGAGGAAGAGAGAGAAATATTGATGTGAAAGGGACATGTTGAGTGGCTGCCTCCCACATGACCCCAACCAGGGCCGAGGATGAATTGCAACCGAGGTACCTGCCCTTGACCGGAATCAATCCCATGACTCATTGGTCTGTGGGCTGAAGCTCTACCGCTGAGCCAAACCAGCCAGGGCTTACTTTCTTATTTTAGAAGGCATTTTACCCAAGGGCACATGGATATGTGTTGGTTATTCCAGAGGACAAAGAAAAAATTGAGAGACTTTATGTACTTCAGAATTTTTTTATTATACACACTTGACTACCCGACTTTAAGGGAAGAAAACAGTCAAGTCACTAGGTAGGAAGACTAGATTCTAGGTACCATGCTGGTCAATAGTAGTCTGAGGGATAAATCAAAACATTTGATCTTTGGTGGCTTGAATTGCCTGTTACCTAATGCAATCATTGAGTCTAAACGTAAGAAGTCTCTGGAATCATGCTGTCCAATAGAAATATAAGACGACCTACGCATGTATACTTTTAAATTTTCTAGTAACCACACTAAACAAAAGGAAACAGGTGAAATTGCCTTCAATAATATATTTAATACAGTAAATCCAAAATATTTCAATGTATAATCAATATTTTTTAAAAATTAAGAAATGTTTTACATTTTGTGCTAAGTCTGAAATTCAGTGTGTATTACACCTAAAGCACATTTCAATTTGGATTTAGCCACATTTCAGGTGCTCAGTAGCTACATGTGGCTAAAGACTGTAGTAGACGGTGTTATCTCTAGAACAGCGAGGCTTTGTGTGCCCATGACATTGAGAAATAGAACTTCCCTCGTATCTAGTGTAAAATATTAAGTTACATACCTTAGAGGATACCTACATCTGCTGGCCAAGTAAGCCTCTAATATAGGTTAGTTTTGGGACTAGTCATTTTCATGAACAGGATGAATACTTTTTTAGTTTAGCTTAATCACTGTTTGGTAAAATATTCATGAGTTTCTACTTTTTCTGTAGATTTGATTCATTTGCCTAAGGCCAAACATATTCTTCCACATCTAAATTCTATAACTTTATGTAATATAAAGAAAAATAGTTTTATTTTTAAGATCTATACTCAATGGCTAGAAATCTGTGACTATATATTCTGAACTTTATTAAGAAAAATGATAATACATACCTTACTCTTTACAATATTAAACAATTTTAAATGGGGCTGTCATATTCTGATATGCATTTTCTTTTGTATTTTAAGGATATGGAATATTACCTTGTAAAATGGAAAGGATGGCCAGATTCTACAAATACTTGGGAACCTTTGCAAAATCTCAAGTGCCCATTACTACTTCAGCAATTCTCTAATGACAAGCATAATTATTTATCTCGTGTAAAGAAAGGCAAAGCAATAACTCTAAACAATAACAAAACTTTGAAACCTGCCATTGCTGAATACATTGTAAAGAAGGCTAAACAAAGGATAGCTCTGCAGAGATGGCAAGATGAACTCAACAGAAGAAAAAATCATAAAGGAATGATTTTTGTTGAAAATACTGTTGACTTAGAGGGCCCACCTTCAGACTTCTACTACATTAATGAATACAAACCTACTCCTGGAATCAGCTTAGTAAATGAAGCTACCTTCGGTTGTTCATGCACAGATTGCTTCTTTGAGAAATGTTGTCCTGCTGAAGCTGGAGTTCTTTTGGCTTACAATAAAAACCAACAAATTAAAATCCCACCTGGTACCCCTATTTATGAATGCAACTCAAGATGTCAGTGTGGACCTGATTGTCCCAATAGGATTGTACAAAAAGGCACGCAGTATTCACTTTGCATCTTTCGAACTAGCAATGGCTGCGGCTGGGGTGTAAAAACCCTTGTGAAGATTAAAAGAATGAGTTTTGTCATGGAATATGTTGGAGAGGTACGTTCAACTTATCACATAGCAAATACTGTGTGTGGAAGATTTACACTTTTGAAAGGCTAGCTTTCTACCTCAGTAACAAATATTTGGTAAATATTGATATAATGTGCAAATATGCAGAAATTTCAGATTTAAGAGAAGAGTCCAATAGCAAGGGGTCAAGGGGGGGAAAAGAGGGACATCTGTAATACATTCAACAATAAAGATACATTTAAAAATATATATATATAAACTTGAATAAAAATTATAAATATTGATAAATAAAAAAGATACAGTCATCTTTCAACAAACACCTATTTATAGTTAATGGAAGTGGTATTTATAAATTTTAAAGTATGACAACTATTTTTACACAAAATTCCTAAGAAGAAAATTGAATCTAAACACATACTTGAAACTTTTTTTTCTTTATAGATTTTAGAGAGAGAGGAAGGGAGACGGAGAGAGAGAGAGAAACATCTATGAGAGAGAACATTGATTGGCTGCCTTCTGCATGCCCCCTACTGGGCATTGGGCTTACAACCTGGGTATGTGCCCTGACCAGGAATCAAAACAGCGACCTCTTGGTGCATGGGTCAATGCTCAACCACTAAGCCACACCAGCCAGGCTAACTTTGAAACTTTTAAATTATAATTTACTTCATTCATTTGACCAAATATTGGTTAAGTTTATTTGCCACAACTCAATTTTAGCTCAACTTGAAAAATACTGTAGAGTAGACCAGTGCTTCATGGGCAAGTTTTGTAGGATAAACGTAAAAGCATTTAATGTGTCCATAAGAAAATCCAAAACCTTTGCATCTGTAACTCAGCTACAAAGATTATTTTCTACATTACCAAATACTAAACAAATTTATTTATATACATATAATGTACATATATACAAAAGTAATGTTTCCTATGTACCACTTACTATTCTAAGCACCTTATGAATGAACACATTAATTCTCTCAACTCCGAGGTAGTGGTATCATCTCCATTGTTATAGACAAGGAAACTGAGGCACAGAGAAGTTAAGTACCTTGCCCAAGGTCACATAGTAGTAAAGAAGAGCCAAGATTCAAAACCAAGGCTTCAAAATCAGTGCACTTCACCCCTGCACTACACTTCCTCCAACTGAAGAGTGGTTTACTTTGTGACTAGAAAAATATGAGTATGACTGCATATCTGGGGTTGTCAAATCTGACTTTTAAAACTTGTTTGGAATTGGATCACCTAACTTTGAGATTAAGTTGGATCCATATTTTTTTTAGACAATGGCAGATTATTATAAATCACTGTTTAGGATACTAGATCTTGTATAACTCATTTTTCTCTTTTTTGGCTTAATCAATGCAGCAGCTAAAATCTGGTTGACACCATAAATCACTGTAGACATCTTTTATTTCTTAAGCAGAGCATGTGGTAAATCTGTGTTGTTAAGAGTAGATCTGTAAATGATGGTTTTGAACTGCCAAATTTCATGAAGACAACCTATTCTTATAAAACGAAATTTTCCATACAGTTGACTGTAAATATAACATACCTTCTCTCCTCTATTTTGTAATAAGTTTCCATTTGTAACTGCACACAGATTAGTTGTAGGAAAAATATCCCTTTATAGCGTATATACTTGTAAACTTACTGCTTTGCGTTCTATGTCCTACAGAGAACTAAAGTTGTGTAGCTTTTTGAACATCTCATTAGCTTAGAATCAAAGTAGTACATGGTTTCAACTTGTTAATTGTTGAGTTGTCCTAATTCCTGTTTAAACACTTATAATTCTTTAGCCCCATCATTTCTCCTCCTTTGTTTTCCAACCTTTCTGTCTAGCTCGTGAATGTGTGTTTTGATGACACTTTACTTTCTTTTTAAGCATTTGTAGCCTCTAATATGTTAATAGATTTATGGATGAGAGTTTTTTCAGTTTAGCAATAGCTCTATAATATACTATAGTTTTTAATTTTTAGGTAATCACAAGTGAAGAAGCTGAAAGACGGGGGCAGTTATATGACAACAAAGGAATCACATACCTCTTTGATCTGGACTATGAATCTGATGAATTCACAGTGGATGCAGCCCGATATGGAAATGTGTCTCATTTTGTGAATCACAGTGTAAGGAATACTGAAAGTGTAGCAGGACTAATTAACTTAGTACTGCATTAAATGATCTTCCATAGTTGAGGAAATAATTATCTTTGAACTACAGACCCTTTTAATATTACCAGAGTATTTTAGTACAAGGGCTTCTTCTGTTAAGTCATGGTACTAGTGCTGTATTAGAAAAATTTATTAGGAAAATTCAAAATGCAAATATCATTCATTTTGCAAGTCTTTACAAATGTTACTTCATTTAAACTTTCCAACAACTTTATAAAATAGGTATTATCCTCATAGAGGAGGGAATTAATGAGCAGAGGAGTTAAGAGGTAGAAAGTTTAAGGAACACATACAACTATATAGGCGTCTCACAGAAGTTAACAGCTAATTTTTAAGATATGCAACTAAGGATAATTGTATTCTCTTAAAATGTAAACATGTTAATATTTTTATAAGATACATGAATTTGTAGAGTATTGAAGTATTTAGGGCTATTTTTCTAAATTTTTAGTATTCTCCGGACTTTTTTTTTTTTTATCCTCACCCGAGGACATTTTTCGATATTTTGTTCAGATAGAGTGAGAGGGGGAGAGAGAGAGAGAAACATCGACGTTTAAGCGACACATCGAGTGGTTGCCACCCACATGACCCAACCAGGGCTGGGGACAAACTGCAACCAAGGTACGTGCCCTTAGCGGGAACCGAACCCGGGTCTCTCCGGACCGCAGGCCGACGCTCTAACCGCTGAGCCAAACCGGCCAGGGCTAAATTTTTAGTATTCTTAGTGTTGGAAAACAACTTAGAATACCACTGGAACCTTAACTCCAGAATCTTATACTCTAAAAACTATTTCCAGAAATAAGGGACATTAATAGTTATTGAGTACCTCCTAAGTGCCTGGTAGATAACATAGTATTAGTCTTATGAGTTTGACATTTCTATTTTATAGATTACAAGGAAATAAATGTACCTCAGAGAGTAAGTTATATAGCTGACCATATAAGGAAATAGACTGTGTTAAACTTTTGATTTTACAAGAAGAAACTAATTTATGATTGTGTGAAATGCCAGCATCCTCCTGATTCCCTTGTTTTCTGATTTATTTAAACTTTTACTTTAATTTTTTTCTTAATAAAAAATTCGAAATACTCTCAAAATAGATATATTCTATTCAAGGACAATTAGAGACTTATTTCGGTTCCTTAGTATTATTCACTGGATCTTTCTTCTTACATATTCCAGAATTTAGTGTGGAGTTCTCAATATATCAAACAATTCCAACAAGAATTTAAGCAATGAAACCCCATGCAATATGAAATTTGAGTTCTAGAGTGCTGACTTGATCCCCCCCCCCTTTTTTTTGTTGTTCAGATAGAGTGGGAGGGAGAGAGAGAGAGAGAGAGAGAAACATAGACGTGAAAGGGACACATCGAGTGGTTGCCACCCACACGACCCATCCAGGGCCGGGTACAAACTGCAACCGAGGTACACACCCTTAGCGGGAACCGAACCCAGGTCTCTGGATTGCAGGCCGATGCTCTAACCGCTGAACCAAATCGGCCAGGGCGATTTTTTTTTTTTCTTTATTGATTTTAGAGAGGGGGGGAAGAGAGAGAGAGAGAGAGATAGAAACAACAATGAAAGAGAACATAAATTGGCCGCCTCCTGCATGCCCCCCACTAGGGATTGGGCCCACAACCTGGGCATGTGCCCTCACTGGGAATCGAACAGGCAACCTCTTGGTGCATGGGTCAACGCTCAACCACTGAGCCACATCGGCTGTGCCTGACTTGATTTTTTAAATGCAGTTGTTCTAATTCTTTAAATATGCTTTACTGAGATATTAACAGGTGAACTGATAATGTTATCTGATTTACAGTAACATTCTCCAGAAAAATTAAAAAGTCAGGAATAGATGAAACAAGATTGGCAAAAATGTTAATAATTGTTGAAGCTGCATAGTGGGTACATATGAACTTACTGTATTATTTTCTTTAGTTTGATGTATGTCTGAAATTTTCTGTAAGTTTGAAAACAGTTTTTTTAAATGTTCATGTCTCAGAGACCTCTTAAGTAATCAACTTAATTTCTAGTACATCTTAAAAAACAAATATTCTGGGCAATTGAAATTTTATATGAAGGTAGAACTAGCTAGAGTTCATTCACGTCATTTTTACTCAAATGGGTTCTAACATTCTTTTTTAGTGTGACCCAAATCTTCAGGTGTTCAATGTTTTCATTGATAACCTTGATACTCGTCTTCCTCGAATAGCACTATTTTCCACAAGAACCATAAATGCTGGAGAAGAACTCACTTTTGATTATCAAATGAAAGGTACGGTTTTTAAGTACAGTTTTGTTGGTGTTAAGTTGTTTTAGTATGAAGAATCTATTCAAGAGAAGAAAATACTTTAGATCATCTGGACCAAACTGATACTAGAAATGAGGCTGTAAGTTTGTCTTTTTACTCAAGGTCTCAAAGCTAATCTGACAGAGCTAAAACTGGAATCCATGTCTGCCTGACTTTGAGCTGAATAATGTTATTTCTTCTACATGATGTTGCCAATTGCTTTTTTCAGAACTTCCATTATGGAAGCTTATTTATTATAATATCTTTTCACAATATTACTTGTATTTAAAAAATTGTAAGCCTACATTTCTGTATTTTTACTAAGAGATGGATATTTGAAAGATTGAAAATGTGATTTAAATCACACATGAACTTATTCCATCTATACTGGAATTTGACTTTTAAGAACATTTAGTTCTGTTTACTTTATTGTGATAAATATAAGTGTTTTCTTTCCATTGCATGATGCCTTTTACATATTGTTACTACTTGATTTCACTTTATGGCTCTTAAATATATGAAATGAATAATTGTATGTTGGATTTTCCCAGTAAGTTTCATCATTTTAGAAATCCATTCTCAAAAATATGAGCTAATAACATACACTTTACCTCTTGTTAGCCTACACCATCCTTTCAATTCATAATGATTTGTCTCTGAATATTTACATTTATTTAAAGCCAATCGAAAAATTGTAACTCATTCTGAATTGTCTTTAACTATCTTTCTCCTATATTTCTTTTTCTACATATTCAGGTTCTGGAGATACATCTTCTGATTCTGTTGACTACAGCCCAGCCAAAAAGAGAGTCAGAACTGTGTGCAGATGTGGAGCTGTGACTTGCAGAGGTTACCTCAACTGACTTTTCAGGAAATAGAGCTAAAGATAAATGTAGTTTTGTTTTTTCCTAATGTTAACATTTTTAAAAATAAATATTTGGGACTCTTTTCATATTATCAAGATTATATACCACATTAATTTACAATTCCTATTTCAAACTATTGGCCAAAATGCATTACTGATGCTTCTGAAGAGAGGAACACAGGGTCACATAGGCCAATTTGAAGTATACCTAATTAGTGGTTAAATACCAAACAAGAAAGGAAAACTACAGCATATACATACTTAAGAAGTCTGTATGAAGAGAGAAATGCCTCCTTTGGTGTTTTAAGTATTAAACCGATAATGCCATAGTCCCTAAGATTAAACATTCAAGTTGCCATACACCTTGAATTTAGAGAAATAGTTAATTCAGTTTGGCCAAATATACAAAGTTCTATTTTTGTTATTATGTTGTCATTCCTGTTTACCTATTTATTACTGTAAATACTGTACTTTTATTGGAGACAAATAGGTGATACTGAATTATACCCTATTTTCTACTTCTTTTATTAAAACATTGAAATTTTAATGATATTGAAATTTAAGGTCTAAAATTAAATGTGAAAAGTTACCGTTTGATTTCATATTTTGAAGCAGTTTAGACCATTATTGAAGGGTCTGTGTTTGAACCAGTAATTCTTAAAGGTTTTTTAATCCTGTAGAAGAAAAATCTCCAAAAAGCTCTAAAATTCTAGAATGGCTGGCCATTTTGCCACTTGTAAATGATACAGTGGTGGGTCCATGGGACGTTTTTTGAAGTACCGGGCAGGGGAAATGGAGTGCTTTAAGGGCCCTTTTCAAACATGAATTTGGATAATCCTGTCGAGTACCTCTGTTCTAAACAGTTAAACAAGATGCCCCTGAGAGCAGCTGTGCCTAACACAACATTAACATAACATTTTCTGAATTTCAGGCTATTGGAACATCTCCTTTCCACCAAATTTAACTATTTTTATATTTCCTGCAAGCTCTTCTTTAAAAATAATCTATATTTTGAACTGGTACTTATTTTATATATGAAATTTTTAAAAGCGATAAAGCTAAACTTGGCTTGGCCAAAATGTGTGCCCGAATTATGAGATTGTTTATTACTTGAACTATGAAGAAGTACATTCATTGTTGGTTTTGTTTGTTTTCGTGAATAGTAAAACCTCAATCAGAAAAAAACTATTTTCATCTCTTTCTGATTCTGGATTTTCTAATCATGGTGTCCAACATAAAGGTAAATGCAGCAAATAAATCTAGCTTTTGGTATTCATTCCTAAACTATTGCCCTAGGATTTAATGATCTACAATATTAGCTTAGATAAAACTGAACTCACTTCACAAATGCAGCATTTCAAATATCTTCTTAACCCTTTACCTCTTTTTTGGTAGAATCTATACTTCATTATTATATTGGTATTACATGCCTTTGCTCTTTCATAATATAGGGTAAATTGTTTACATGTTTAGAGCCTCAGAGTATATAGACACTAATCAAAATTTGCAGGTGTCGAGAAATATTATTTTTGTGACATTTCATGTTTATGAAAAAATAGTCACATGGTATCAGAGGTGAGAGAGCGTCATTGATTTTACAGGTTGTTCCCAGTGGCCAAGCATTCTTTGAATTATAATTGGTAAGTTTAAAGATGTAATTCTCACATTCTTTTTAAAAAGTCAGTGTTTTACTTTATGTTGTCTACTTTTTGTGTTAAAAAATAAAACTGGAGGGCAAAGGGAAAATGGCTATTTTTAGTTAACTTGTTTATTAATAGAAATTTAATGAGTCTTTGAGATTTTAATTACCTGCTACCCTTATGTTATTGAAAAGCTGAACGTAAGCAGTAGAATAGAAGCTATTTAAATGAAGCTGTTAGGAGCTTTAACTATTTTAAAGTTTAGCTTCTTTACATTAGTTTCCTAAGTTGTCAATTTTTTCTGTCAATGTAAAGCGAATATAAAGGTAATATTTAAATGAAGTTTAAACTGTCGGTCCACTGTACAAATTGTACTAATACTATTGTTTTCAGTATCTACATATGAGGATTGTGATACACAGTTAGTAATCTCAGGGTTTTTTCCCTCATATATGCAACATCTAGACAGCACTTATTCTTATAGTTCAACAGTTTTTCTTTAGCAAATAAATTTAGTTTAGCATTTGATTTTCTATTTATCATGGGTTAGCTTTGTTTCGGAATTTTTTTAGATTTTTGGCTAGGCAATATGCTGAATGCTTTACATATGTTATTTCCTTTTTTTCTTCTTTAAATCTTTATTGTTGAAAGTGTTTCTGAATATTTTAACTGTCTTTTTCAGTAAGGCCACAAAAAGGGAAGAAAAATACTGATGTATTCCTGACTACCTGCTATTGAGATTAACCAAAGGTTTATATACCATTCTTTTCAATGTTACATCCCTTTCTTAAAAATTTATCGTCATGGTTCATGCATTTGGATATTAAAGTATAATTTTACATTTAGCATAATGTGGGTGGATATTTCTAAAAATTTTTGAGTATTATAGTCACCAGTTATTTAAACCAGTTTTGCTAAGTTCTGCCTAGAACTGCCAAGGAATTTTAGAATTAGAGCTAGTATTTCTTGAGAAGTCTTAGGCTTTTATGTGTACTCACATGCTTCTCATAAATCTATGAGGTTGGTGCTATTGTCCCTGTAGTACACCAAAGGAAGTAGGTTTAGACTGATTAGGTAACGTCAACATGCCCAAGATCACCCAGTTAGGAGGCAGTCAACTATACCTATTAATTTAACCAATTTCAGGCACACTTTTAAAAAAAAATCTATTTCTACTGTTAGTTTAAACAAACTTCTAAGCCTTGGATTCCTCTCTAAGACAAATGTGGCTAGCCACTGGATTTCTTCTGTGATATATCTTGGCATTTTGAAACGTTTTGCCCTTACAATACTTTATAGTTCTTGAAGTAAAAAATCAAGTAGCACCTGGCCGGTATAGCTCAGTGGTTGAGTGTCGACCCATGCACCAAGAGGTCACCAGTTCGATTCCCAGTCAGGGCACATGCCCAGGTTGTGGGCCAAATCCCCAGTCAGGGGCATGCAGGAGGCGGCCGGTCGATGTTCTCTCTCTCATTGATGTTTCCTTCTCCCTTCTTCTCTTTCTAAAATCAATGGAGAAAAAATAAAAATAAATCAAATTATCTACTATAATTAATTCTGCCCACTGTTAGGCTCTTTTTGAGAGACCTAATTGCATAGTGATTAAGAACATAGACTTTAGGGCCTGAATTACCTGTATTTGAGTCCTGGCTTCACCTTTTTTCCTGGATAATTTTTAACCTGAGGATATTTTTTCCATTGATTTTTAGATAGAATGGAAAGGACGGGGGAGAAAGAAACATTGATGTGAGACATCAATTGGTTGCCTCCCGCAAGACCCCAATCAGGGCTGAGGATTGAACCTGCAATCCAGATATGTGCCCTTCACTGGAAATTGAACCCAGGATCCTTTGGTCTACTGGCCGATGCTCAAACTGCTGAACCAAATCAGCCAGGGCCTGGCTTTACCCTTACTGGGTATGTGAACTAACCTGTCTATGCCTTAGCTAATAACTCTATTGACATACCTCAAAGGGTGTTGTGAAGATTAAAGGAGTTAATATACAGTGTGTAAGAGTTAAGCATTATCACAGAGTAAGCACATGTATTAGCTGTAATTATTCTGTACTTCAAGTACAAAGTAGGAACCTGACTTTGACATCTTTTGTGATCACTACAAGTGTTTTGATCAAAGTCTGTTCTAATGCTCTTAGTCTTTAAATTCATTCAGCCAGCATTTATTATTCCAGACCCACATATAAAACAATGAAAATGTGGCAGTATTATATATTCAGAAGAATGTTTACAGGCTTGTTTTGAACAACCCTCCCTTGGATCATAAGCTATAGTATTAAGATGGAATCTTAAGTGTCAGTATGTACAATGTATACATTTGATTACATGATTTATGATAGTGAATTAGAACTAATTTTTAGAGCTATAAATAAAACATGAAGTCTCTGGGTTTCAGTAATGGGCCTGTTGTAGTTATAACCAAATATTCAACCAGTGATTTGCAGTCTTTATTGGTTCTCTTCAGAGATTTTATATTCACTTGGAATTTAGGAAATAGTTCTCAGATGGGAGGTGGGCAAAATGGAATGAAGACAACTCTAATCCTGTCCCTCATACTAAGTCTGTAGAGTGTATTTCATCCAATACTCAGCAGCAGCAGCTGAGCTAGAAAAAAGGGGTCAGGCTCTGGCCGGTTTGGCTCAGCGGTTGGAACATTGGCCTGCGGTCTGGAGAGACCTGGGTTCAGTTTCCGCTAGGGGCGCGTACCTTGGTTGGGTTGCAGTTTGTCCCCAGCCCTGGTTGGGTCGTGTGGGTGGCAACCACTCGATGTGTCCCTTTCACGTCGATGTTTCTCTCTCTCTCTCTCTCCCTCCTACTCTATCTGAACAAAAATGTCAAAAATGTCCTCAGTTGAGGATTAAAAAAAAAAAAAGGGTCAGTGTTCTTGTAAAACTCCTTTTATCCTTCCTTTTATTACTTTTCCCCAGGTACCTTACTATGCTCAGACCATTCCCAATTGGTGTACATGTTAATAAAGTTTACTGTTGAGTAATTTAGAGACTCTTACCTAAAATTGTGACCCAACATGTCCTCAAAGACCAATCAGAAATGACCGGGCCCTTACTCTCAGCCCTATCCCTTTATAACCATGTTAGTTTCTTCTCCTCATCCCTCCTCTTGTGCCGGTTGCTTAGCTAAAATGTGAAGTCTAGGTGTCACTGTCCACTGCCCCCCCACCCCCACCATGTAAATGGATAGGCAAATTTGTCCTCCCAACACACACCCTTCTGGAGAAGTGAGGGCTGACTTCCTGGTTCCTCTTGGCATTGCTTCCTTTGAGTACCAAATTTATTTTCTTCTCCCACTAACTCTAAGTCTTGTGGATATAATACTTGTCTAATTACCTTGCAGTATGGTAATAATGCATATCATTGTTAGTGAACTGACCTACAAATGGTTTTAGAGACTCCACTTCATTTTAAGTGAAATCTCTGCTCTTGCTGCCCTCATCTACAAAATGTTAGCATACCAAAGTGCTTATTAATGTTAATAAAAATTTATTAAGTACACATATATAACTGTGCAAAAGCATATCCTGTTGATGGACTTTAGAAATATTGAATGACTCAGAATGACACACATATTTTTGCCATTTAATTATTTCTTTTAGGTCCTAGTTTTTCTAGTTTTAATTTTACCACCATATTCACACCAACGTTCTTAAGTGGTGTAACATCTTTTGAGGTAACTAGGGGGCTGACTTTTCCTATAGCCATCAGTTTATAGTAATAGGTCCAAGTTTATTCTTTTCAATTTGAAGTATTTTTATGACCCAGGATATGGTCTGTCTTGGTGAATGTCCCATGCGCTCTTGAAAAGCATGTATTCTGTTGTTGGATGGAATATCAGATCCATTTGGTTCATGGGTTATTCATGTTATTAACATGAATATTTTATTCATGTCTTCTCTGTCCTTGCTGATTTACTGTAAGCTAATTGTTACTGTGAGAGGAATGCTCAAGTTTTGGCTGTCATCATACATTAGGTTGTTGTCTTTCAGTTGTTTGTGCTTTGTACACGGCATACCTCGTTTTACTGCACTTCATGGATAGTACATTCTCATTTTCAAGGCAAAAGGGTTACAACTTGCTGAAGGCTCAGATGATGGTCAGCATTTTTTAGCAAAGTATTTTTATTTTTACTTATTTTTTGTTAATCCTCACCCGAGAATATATTTTTCCATTGCTTTTTAGAGAGAGGGAAGGAGAAACATCCATGTGAGACAGAGACGTTGATTGGTTGCCTCCTGCAAGACCCTAACCTGGCTGGGGATTGAACCTGCAACCCAGGTATGTGCCCTTGATTGGAATCGAACCCATGACCCTTTGGTGCACAGGCCAATGTTCTAAGCGGCTGAGCCAAACCAGCCAGGGCAACAAAGTATTTTCAAAGTAAGGTATGCTGGGTTTTTGTTTTTGTTTTTTTGACATAATGGTATTGCATACTTAATAGAATGTAAACAACTTTTATGTGCATTGGGAAACCAAAAAATTCATGTGACCTGCTTTGTGATTTTTGCATTGTTGCAGTGGTCTAGAAGTAAACCTGCAATATCTCTGAGGTATGCCTGTATATTTTGACGCTGCTGTTAAAGACGCACATTTAAAATTGTATATTCTTGGTAAACTGCACCTTTTATAGCCATTCAATCTGTCTCTTAAGTAGTGTTACATGGTGTATCGTCTTTATCCTTTTACTTTTAACTAACCTATATCATGTGAAGAAGTGAGTTGCTTATAGACAGCATATAGCTGGGTCATTTTATTTTTCGTATCTTTTCATTGTTGTGTTTAGACCATTTTCATTTAATTATTGATCTGTTTGTATTTAGTCCTACCATATCTTGTTTGTTTTCTTTTTTTTTCCCCTCTATCTTTTTTTGTTCCTGTTTCCCCTTTACGGTCTCCATTTAGGTTATATGAGCATTTAAATTTATTAAGATCTTTGACTACTTAACCTCTTTATTATGATTTTGACTATTACCTCTTTGTATAGGTTTTTTTAGTGGTGGCTCTAGAATGAATTTCTAAATATCTAACAGTGAGCTTTTTCTCTTCTCAAGTACTATATCATTACCTGTTGCTAGCTTCTCATATAAATACTGTAAATGCTCTTGTTGAGGTAGCTCAGCTTCTGGAGTTGCGGGAATTTCAAAATCAGAGGAGCTCTGTGAATCTGCATTGGTGCTAAGAGTTAGCAACTTTCTTTCCTGAGGTATGTGTTTCCCACTATTCACAGTAGTTGGTTCTCCAACATTAGAGACTACATTTACATCTTCAGAGTAAGTGTTCTTTGGGAAAAGTATATTTTTTTCTGTCTGAGAGGCAGGAAGATTCTCTTTGATTTTTGGTCTATAGCCACCTTTGTTCAAGGAAGTCATATCCCCACTATTTCTCTCTTGGGAAGATAACAAAATAGTGTCAGACTGGCTGTCCCAGCCTTGACTTCCTTGTTCTGAGATGTGTGTGGACTGAGAGGAATTCTGAGAAGAGATGTGAGTTGACTCGCCATCAGAGTCACTGGAAAGCTGTGGTGACTGAGAGCCCCCTGTGGAGGAAGGGAAGTTTTCCAAACCGTCATCTGTGGTGTTATCATTTCTTTTAAAGAATACGTCCCACTGTGGTACTTCTGCATCAGCCTTTTGCTGGTGATGTGTGAGAGGACTCGGATCTCCTTGAAATGAAGCTGGGATTTGTAATTCTTCTTCACTTTCACTGTTGGATTCTTCACAATCTATAAAGTTTGCCCAAAGAGAGGTTTTCATGCTCTCTGCTTTGATGCATCCTGTGCTTTGTCCTAGTTTTTCAGGCTGGTTTTGTGATACTGCCGTCATTGGAAATACTTTAGGGTGAAGAGTCTGCTGGTTTGGAACTTTGTGCCTTAAAGGTACTGGCAGAGGATCATCAAAGAGGTCATCCTCCTCCTCCTCCTCTGGGGGACAAACAAAACAGGTTTATAAGAAACAAAATGCAAAGGGAGGCAATTTGTGTTTTAATTAAAAGTCCAATTTGTAGCATTTAGCTATGTTTTTTAATTCATGGAATTGCAAATAATAGGGAGTTAACTCTTCCAAGAGCAATTAAAGGGCCGTTTATTGTTGGGATGTTCTGAACAATTTACCGCTCTTTAACTTATGTCAGATAATGAGCTGATACTATAGACCTGTGTTCCCCAAATTAAGGCCATAATACCTATATTAGTGGTTCTCAAACCCGCTTAATCATTATCATCTGGAGAGTATTTTTTTTTAAAAACACAGCTTTCACCCTGGCTGGTTTTGCTCAGTGGTTAGAGCATTGGCCCCTGGACCAGAGAGGCCCGGGTTTGGTTCCTGCTAAAGGCATGTGCCGTGGTTGCAGTTCGTCCCCGGCCCCGGTTGGGGTCGTATGGGTAGCAACCAGTCGATGTGTCTCTCTCACATCGATGTTTCTCTCTCCCTTCCACTCTATCTGAAGATAAATGCAAAAGAAAAACAAAAATACAGCTTTCTGTATCTTCTTCCAGGCCTACTGAATCCCTTAGGGTAGGACCCAATAATTTGATTGTTTTATATTTTTGAAGTTCCACAGCTGATTCTTTTCTTAGCCAGGTTTGTGAACCACTCAGACTAGAAGAGGTTTACAAATACTAGATGCTCAAGTTGACTGATTTTTTTTTAATAGAGTGGGAAGGAGAGAGAGAGACACATTGATTGGTTGCCTCCCACATGTGCCCTTGACTTTGTCTGATGCTTTTCACCGCTGAGCCAAATCAGCCAGAGCATGTTGACTGATTTAATATAATGGCAGTTAATTGTTTTCTAGAGTTTTCCTTCTATACATATTTTGATACCTACTTTGTGCTTATTGAGCTGAATGTCTGTGTCCTCCCAGAGTTTATAATTTGAAGCTCTAACCCCAATGTGAAGGTATTTGGAGTGGGGACCTTCAGAAGATAATTAGGTTTAGAAGAGCTCCTTCTAAAAAGAGGAAGACAGATTTCTCAATGCCCATGCACAAAGAAAAGGCCTGTGAGCACACAGTAAGAAGGCAGCTGTCTACAAGCCAGGAAGAGAGCCCTCACGAACTGAATCCGCCAGCACCTTAATCTTGGACATCCCGACCTCCAGAACTGTGAGCAGTAAATGTCTATTAGTTAAGTCACCTAATCAGTGGTATTCGTTATAGCAACCAGAGCTGGTTAGTTCACAAGGCTGTGACAGATATTGGGGGGGAATACACAGATTAGATCAACTTTAACCAAAATACTAAATTAACTGCATGTACTGTCAAGAACTAAGTCAACAACAAAAATTTTTTAAATTTTTTTTTTCTTTATTGATTTTAGAGAGAGGAAGGGATAGAGAGAACAGCGATTGGCCACCTCTTGCATGTACCCTACTGGGTATCAGGCCCACAACCTGGGCATGTGCCCGGACTGGGAATTGAACTGGCGACCTCTTGGTGCATGGGTTGATGCTCAACCACACCAGCTGGGCAACAAAATTTATTCTAGTGATATTCTAAGCATGTTGCATTAGTATGTAGTGAGTCCAATAGCCCAATCCACTTAAATTCTTAAAACGAGGAACCCTTATTTGAAGAATAAAATTTGTATGTTATATGAAATTTACATAAAATAATAAGGCTTGGAACTAGGAAAACAAGTATTTTACTGCTCTGTAATACAACGGTTCTCAACCTGGGGGTCAAACGACCCTTTCACAGGGGTCGCTTAAGACCAACGGAAAACATATATTTCTGATGGTATTAGAAACCAAAACACCGCTCTTCTGTCTCCAGGCGGGTATGCCCACATACAACATGAGGAACTGTATTAAAGGGTCATGGCATTAGGAAGGTTGAGAACCACTGCTGTAACAGAATGTAACCTAAGGAAATTAAAATGCTCATGAGACTGTTTTTTGTTCTAGTGCTGAATCTGGTATCTTTTTAAGTAGTAGGTAATTAGTTAATTTATATTTTCCCAGAAGCCATTAAAAAGATAGAGACTGCCCTGGCTGGTTTGGCTCAGTGTTAGAGCGTTGGGTTCAGTTCCCGCTAAGGGCACGTATCTTGGTTGCAGTTTGTCCCTGGCCCTGGTTGGGTTGTGCGGGTAGCAGCCACTTGATGTGACCTTCTCACATCGATGTTTCTCTCTCTCTTCCTCTCTTTCCCTCCCACTCTATCTGAACAAAAAAATGGAAAAATGTCCTCGGGCAAGGATAAGAAAAAAATAGAGACCATTATGCAGCTCCCATTACCAATGAGGAGACAGGCCCACAGAAGGCATGTGATAAGGTGTAGGTCAAAAAACTACAAAGGTGCCCTGGCTGATGTGGCTCAGTTGGTTGGGCATTGTCCCATGCACTGAAAGGTTGTCAGTTCTATTCCTGGTCAGGGCACATTCAGGAGGTAGCCAAACGATGTTTCACTCCCTCACTCTAAAAATCAATTAAAAACCTTTAAAATGGTAATAAAACCAGATAGGCAGAGCCAGGTATCAAACCCAATTCCTAAAGTTCTGTGTTCTGTTATGAAGCATTTATCTTATCCTTTTGTAAAGGATTTAAGGTGATTGAATATCTAGCTACTGTATTTGGAATCATCACAGTCTATAAGGCCTGGCTTTATTTCAAGCTCTGGATTATACATTTGTTTTAGCTCTCTTCTGCCACTGTGCAAAAGATGTCTTTATATGAAATGTTTTTGTATCACCTCTAAGTTGGACTGTTTCATGTTCTTCTGCATCTGTCAGTATACCAGCATCATAGTATGTTTCAACTGTAAAACATTTTCACATTAACTCACCTGTATGCATCTGAAACAAGTAGTTTCTATACTATTAGAAATTTATTCTGACATTAAATTCATATTGTTTTAACAGAATAAACGTCTCTATATGAAAATGGAAAGATATATCACAGAAAAATATCACAATAAATATGAAAGCGTTAAAATCCTTAATGGTGTTTACAACGTGATATACTGTAACCCAGTTTTAAAAGGGAAACATGTCAAATAATTCATAGATATCACCCATCAACATACATATACTTAAATTTCTAAAATGTAACCCAATACAATGAGAAAACAGACTTAACGCAGTGTTGTTCATCGCAATATTATCTGCAAAACTGAAGTTAGAAATAACCTAAATATGCCATTATCTAGTCATAATGCAAAGTATACAGCCATTAAATTGTCATTTTTAATAACAAATTTTTCCAATAAGTTTGTGTGTGCATGCATATACAGTGATCCAAGCTGCTATTCAGCCTGTATACAACTATATAGTCTTATATTTATTATACTACAATACTCTCACACAAGTTACTGTAAACCCCAAAATGTCCTTCCTGCTCCTTTCTCCCACTTCTCTGTCCACCTCTCTACAATCCAACAACTAAGAGTCTTACACACTGGCCCTGACTGGTGCGGCTCAGTGGGTACAGCATTGGCACATACTTGGGTTGTAGGTTCGATCTCCCGTTGAGGCATGTGCAGGAGGCAACCAATTGATGTGTCTCTTTCTCTTCCCTCCCACTCTCTAAAAAAAAAAAAAAAATCAATGGAAGAAATGTCCTCAGGTGAGGATTAACATAAAAGTCTTACACACTGGAGAACTTTTCAGGCATCAGTCTTGCACTACAGTTACAATTGTTCTTGTTAATGCCTACAAAATGTTGCTTTTTAAACATTTTCATTATCCACCCCCTTTGAGTTCGGTGGAAATGAATAAGGAAAAAATAAAATACACTGAAATGCTTATTTAGAGTTAGGTTCTACATAACTTCTAAATTATCTACAGTGAGTATGTACTACTATTATGAGAAGAACAGAAACGGTGATTTTAAAATATTGGTCTATGGGGATAATTATAATAGTAAACTATTAAATTAGTACAAGGAGAAGAATGACCTCTGTACTTGCCTCTCAGATTCTAACACAGGAATAACACGTCTTAAAGCAACTGATTTAATGCCACTTACATATTGACTTGCATCAAGAGAACATGTTAGGAACTAAAGAACCTGACAGACTGTTCAGCACACTGGTAGAGATCACCACAGAGACCTTAAAGCACAGAAAAGAATAAGAATTATAAAATAAACATGATACCTAGGACTCACAATATTCTTCTAAAAATATCTAGAGAGACTGCCACCAAAGGATTGTGGAAAGATCTATACCTGTACAAATAACTCAAAAGCTATATTAATAAGGAGTAAAAGGACTAAGGAATCTAGAAAGAACAAAAGCAAAGTTAATGAAAAGGCAAAAACAAAATGGAAATGAATAATAATTCAAAAACTCTTACACTGCTGGCCCAATCAAAATGGTCTGGTAAGTGCATAAAAGATTCAAATTAAGTTCACAAAATTTTTTTAAAGATTTCTACTTCCAGCCAAGAAAATAAACAGGCTAGATTGAACCTCTCACCTGAAACAACTAAAAAGACAAAATATAAGAAAGGCTCTAAAGAAATTGGACATCAGGCAATGAAGGAGTGATACCTGAGAAATGTGAAAAGTGAGCTCTAAGCTTGCCCCAGCTTACTGGTTTCCAGGCAAAAGGGGACACGTAGGTAGAGACCTTCAGCACCCCTGAGTTGAGGAGCTATAACTGGGAATCTGAGGAAGCCAAGGTGGCTGGAGTTTCCAGAGAAAGCAGTCAAGTTGCTGCTCCCAAGAGCTGCAGAGAGGCCCCTGAGTACTCAGCATCCTGGTCAGTGCATGCTTGTGATGCGCACATACCCCGAGGCCCAGGGAAGAATGAAGGGAAACGGTACTCAGAATGCACACAGTGCTAGGAACAGAGCCTACCCCCAACAGCCAGAGTAGAACACCATAATTTACAGGGTGTTTTACTGTAAGAATACTGAAGGCCTTACCTCAGTAGTGGGGAAAATCAATTCTAGACTAAATGCTGCTATGTTCCTGTTTTACAAAGATAATACACGAAAGGAGCAAACTTTACAAGTCACTTAACCACATGCCACAACAAAGCTCAAGAATGTTTTTAGAGCCCTAGCCAGTTTGGCTCAGCGGTTAGAGCGTCGGCCTGCAGGCCAGAGAGACCCGGGTTCGGTTCCCGCTAAGGGCATGTACTTCGGTTGCAGTTTGTCCCCGGCCCTGGTTGGGTCGTGTGGGTCGCAGCCGCCACTTGATGTGTCCCTTTCACATCGATGTTTCTCTCCTCTCTCCCTCCCGCTCTATCTTAACAAAAAATGGAAAAATGTCCTTGGGTGAGGATTAAAAAACAAAAAAATGGTTTTAGAAATCCAAAATTATACAGAACTTAAGGTCAAGTTCAGAATGTATGGCATCCAATAAAAATGTATCAGGCATGCAGAAAGGTGTGAAAATACAACTTATACTATGGAAGAAAATCAAAACTGATCCCCCAAAATGCTAAAACATGAGAGTAAATCGTCATGATTTTGGATTAAGCAACAGTTTCTTAGATATGACATCAAAAGCACAAGCAATGAAAGAAAAAATAGATAAATTGGACTTAATCAAATTTAAAGTCTTGTATTTCAAAAGACACCATCAAGAAAGTAAAAAGAAACTAGGAAAATAATCTTTGCAAATCATATCTGATAAAGGACTTATATGCAGATTATATAAAGAACTCTTAGGCCCTGGCCGGTGTGGCTCAGTTGGGTGTTGTCCCATACACCAAAAGATTGCTGGTTTGATTCCAGGTCAGGACATATGCCTGGGTTTCAGTTCAATGTTGGTAGAGGGCTTGCTGGAGGTAGCCAATTGGTATATCGAATGTTTCTCTCCCTCTCTCTAAAAATGAAATGTCCAGAAGAGGTAAATCTATACAGACGGACCATAAATTAGTGGTTGCTTAAAGCTGGAGGTAGTAATAGGGAGTGACTTTAAATGGGCACAGTTTCTTTTTGGAATAATGAAAATATCTGAAATTAGATACTGGTGATGGTTGCACAACTCTGTTAAAGTAACAATAATGGAATTGTTCACCTAAAAAGGGTGAAATTTTGGTATATAAATTATGCTTCAATAAAGGTTTTTAAAATTGACAGTTTAAAGCAAAAAAAAAAAAAAAAGTCATGTGTTTGTGGAGTTGATAACAGAAGTAAAATGACAATACTAGCACAGACTGGGAGGGGAGAAATGGAACTAGACTGTTGTAAGCTTCTTACACCATACTTGAAGTAATACTATTTAAACTTTTCACTCTGACAGGTTAAAGATATATACTATAAACCACTAAAATAAAACAAAGAATTACAGCTAATAAGCCAATAAGAGATTGAAAGTAATCTATCAGTACTCATTTAACCCAAAAGAAGGCAGAAGCGAAAGAAGAAATTAACAGGTATAACAAATAGCAAGATGATAACTTTAAACCTAAGCATATCAATAATCACATTAAATTTAAAATGGTTTAAGCACTCCAATTAAAAGGCAGAAATTATAAGATTGGATACAAAAAGCAAGACCCCAAAACTGCACTGCCAACAAGAAACCCACTTTAAATATAAAGACAGTTAAAAATAGAGATACAAAAGCATAGCATACTAAAACTAACCAGAAGAAAGTGGAGTGGGTGGCTGTGTTAATAGCTAATAAAGTAGATCTCAAAGCTAAGAATATTACCAGGGATATTTACTTCCTAAAACTAAAGTAGTCTTTTCCTCAAGAGGACATAACAATCTTAAATATGTGTATACCTAATAGCAGTGCTTCAAGTCAGTGAAGCAAAAAGTGGTAGAATGGCAAGGAGAAATACACATCCACAATTATAAATGGAGGTTTCAACAACTCTGAATAACTCATACAGAGCAAGTAGAACAAGTAAGGCAGCAGGGATAGAGAAGGCAAACCCTCAACTAACAACCTACTCCACCCAACAGCTTCTGTTTCCTCATGGGTAAAATTGGGATGATACCACTTATAGGTTTGTTTTGAGGTTTAGCTCTAATATATGGAAAAGACCCAGCACAACACCTGCCATACAGTAGGTGTTCAATAAACAGTATCATCATTTTATCTACTAACACTGTTTAGGTCATGTATTAGCTATATGGTACAGTGACTGGCTCTCCCTCAGAGCAATGAAAATTGAGTCCTAACCAAGAAATCACATAAAGCAGCAGGGTCTTTGCTCAGAATCTGAAGTTCTAATTTCCACCTCAGAGTGTCCCTCCATTCGTCACTGGAAAATGAAAGGAAGGAAGGAAAGTATAGGGAAAATCCATTTGTATAAGCATTACTGATTAGTCTGATCGGAAATGATGGCAAGAAAAGTTCCCATTATCAGCATTTTCTAGTATCGTGAAGGAAATGTTCAAGGATAACAGCAAAGCCTCTCCTTATGGCCTATATGAACCATGGGACATATTTCCAGAAAGCTGAGAACATTCAATATAGGCACGGTTTTCTTTGGCACTTGTGTTAAGCCTGTCAAGAAGATGGAACTCCTGGTTATACAGGCTGAAGACAGGGCTCAGCTCTTCCTGAGACCATGTGACAAGTCTGACAGAGTCCCAGGTCTGCCTCTACCCAGTGCAGCTTTCAGCAGGTCAGAGCACCCTGAAGAGCAGTCTTGCAGGAAACCCATATTTATTTTTCTTAAAATATGTTTTTATTGATTTTTTTTTAGAGAGGGAAGCATCAATCCACTGCCTCCTACACACCCCCTACTGGGGATCGAGCCTGCAACCTGGGCATGTGCCCTGAGTAGGAATCGAACCAGGACCTTTCAGTCCATGGGACGACGCTCAATCCACTGAGTCACACTGGCCGGATGGAAACTCATACTTCTGACCCCAGGGTCTTCTTACCAGAGTCTAGGTGAGTTGTTCTAGCTCTCTTCAGTTTTCCGAGTGGTTTGTACTTTGGCTCAGTGCTTTGGGAAGATCGGCATAAAGGCTTTAAGCTGAAATGAATATGAATATTTTATTTTTCCTGCTGGGAAACTTGCTGGAATGTAAGCATCATTTATAGAGATTATGAAAGTTTGACCGTGAGGGAAATCATAACTACTTTTAAAAACTGAAAAGCAGCCCTGTCTGGTGTGGCTCAGTTGGGTATCACCTCACACACCAAAGGGGTATGGTTCGATTCCCAGTCAGGTCACATTACCCAGGTTTCAGATTCAATCCCTGGTTAAGGCACGTACAGGAGACAACCAACTTATGTTTCTTTCTCACATTGATGTTTCTTTCCCTCTCTCTCTAAAATTAATTTTTTTAAATGTAATGTTTAATAGTTAAAAATCACTTCAATATAATAAAATACTAAAAAAACCTGGTGGGTAGCTATTTAATTGTAGGATCGAGGGAAAGCAAAACTCGTATCTGCTCTTGCACTGCAGAAAATCAGGTCCCTATTCTAAAACAGTACAGTGACACCCGGCATTCAGAGAATACAATATAGCTAGCTTTTTCCACTTCCCTGTTGACTTATCTTTTGCAAAAATCCCACAGATTTGATCACTTCCTTCTAGAGCAATGGTTCTCAACCTTCCTAATGCTGCGACCCTTTAATACAGTTCCTCATGTTGTGGTGACCCCCAACCATAAAATAATTTTCGTTGCTATTTCATAACTGTAATTTTGCTACTGTTATGAATTACCATTGGATGTATTTCCGATGTTCTTAGGCGACCCCTGTGAAAGGGTCGTTCGACCCCCAAAGGGGCTGTGACCCACAGGTTGAGAACTGCTGAAAGCTAAGATCCAGTGAAGATGAAATAAAAAAGGGCACAGAAATAAGATTTGAGGGTGTCCTGCTCTTTTTCGAGGGTCTAATTGCCAACTGCTTCCTTATGTCAGAGTCCCAGAAGCCTTTAGGACTATATATAACATGCCTACCTAAAGAAAGCCATTATGTTCCCACCCAGAAACTCTTTCACAGCCCCATCCACTTTAAGCCCTTGCCCCTGTTCTCAGGCTGGAAACTATTTTCTGGATCCATCCCGTTCAATAACTCAAGTTCCACTAGTTGCAACAACTTACATTTCTGTAACTTTATCCACAGTTGTACCCACTGGAATGACATTTGGATGTGCATTCACAGGGCAGATGTAGCTCAAGAAATCTGTAATCTAGAAGAAGGAAAATAAAATGGATCAATTATCTCAATAGTGAAATATCTGAGTGTGAGAGGCAAATAAATGGGGGCTGGAGAAAGAAGTAGAAAAATCATGGCTGTGGTTCTCAATGCTTGCTGCAAATGGGGTTCACCTACGGACCTCTTAGGGAAAAATATCCAATGCATAGGCCTCGCCCCAAGGATCCTTTAACACTAGGCTGCAGTGGGGCCGGGACTGTATTCTCCAAGTGGTTCTGTTCCACAGTAAGGACAGAAATCACTGGTCAATGGGATTCAAAGATTACATGTTCATACGACCTTTGTCATCTAAGGTCAGCCATTCATATTTAACACATACCCCCCCCCCCCCGTATGTTAGATTTAGTTGAGTACTTAATATACATAAGAAAACAATATCTTAGAATTATACTTCTTGAATCAGAGGAATGGCAGCAGTGAGAGATCCCCTTGGTCATTTGAACAGCTACAACTCAACAAAGGATTCCTGCTCAACATAGAGGCACACCTGAAAAGTTCCTGTATTGAAGCATCTAAGGGTGGGCAAGTGGGAACAAACAGGAGAGACAAGAAGGGAGGAAAGCTCAGACGCAGGCCTGCAGCAGGGAACTCCTAGCGGGGCTCTGTCCTGAGACAGGAGGAATCTGGTTGTGGCTTTAGCTGGGAGAAACAGAGAGATTTGATGGGCATTCCACAGGGGTGAGCAGCACAAGCTGTGGCCGAGCCCAGAGACCTGGGAAGGGCACAGCGCAGGTGCTGCCGTGTCTGTCAGGTGGTCAGCATTCAGACAAAGCCACTGAGCCCTGCCGCCCTGTAGCCTCCCAGAACTCTCCTCCCTTCACTTGGTGTTGAGTTGCAGAGCATATCTGCAAACCCAAGAACTGGTATTACAGAATCACTATTTCCCCTGAGCAGAGGGTGTACTCTGTGACTGGGCCCCAGCTGGGGCACAAAGGTCCAAGGTTGCTATTACCAGGAGGGCAAAACAAAGAAGGTGGCTGGTTCCACCAGCCTACCCCACCTCCACACATTGCAGCTACCCTGATGATAGCCAGAGACACTACAGGAGTCAGCACTGGAATTTCAGAGCTAAAGAATTTGAGATTCACTGCCACCTACTGGCCAATAAGAGAAAGACCTCTTTGTATTAAACTGAGAGAGATGCGCCACTCATACATAGATGCCTAGACAGAGAATGAACCCATCAAATACCATGTATAACCAAGCTAGCGAGGCAGCTCAGAAAGAAAATGAAAAATCTCCAGAAAGTGCCCTGGCCGGTTTGGCTCAGTGGTTGGAGCGTCGGCCTGCGGTCCAGAGAGACCTGGGTTCTGTTGCCTCTGGGGGCGCATACCTCAGTTGCAGTTTGTCCCCGGCCCTGGTTGGGTTGTGTGGGTGGCGGCCACTTGATGTGTCCCTTTCGCATCGATGTTTCTCTTTCTCCCTCTCCCTCTCTTTCTTTCTCCCTCCTTCCCTCCCTCCCTCCTTCCCTCTCTGTCCCACTCTATCTGAACAAAAAATGGAAAAATGTCCTCAGGTGAGGATTTAAAAATCTCCAGAAAGCAAACTTGCACACAAGTCAATATGTGATATAACTCAATGTTGCAGTTCTGAAAATACAATGGCATGCAAAAAAAATACAATTTAATGCATGCAGAAAACAAATTAATGAACAAAACGAGTACTTTACCAAAGAGACTGAAACCTTAAAAAAGAACAGAACAAATTCTGGAGATGAAGAACTCAATAAAAGAGACCAAGAATAAACTAGCAAGCATAGGAAATAGAGCTGACCAATTGGAGGAAAGAATTAGTGATATCAAAGATAGACATCTAGAAATGACAGAGGGAAGAAGAGAGAGACTCGAGCATTAAAAACAAAAAATGAAGGAATTCTATAAGGACTATCTGACTCCATTAGAAAAAACAATATAAAAATAATAGGCACTGAGCAGTGTTGCTCAGTGGTCAGAGTGTCAACCTGTGCACCAAATGGTCACAGGTTCAATTCCCAGTCAAGGGCATGTACCTGGGTCGCAGGTTTTATTTTATGTTTTTAATATGTTTTTATTGATTGTTTTTTTAAGAGAGAAGGAGGAGGGAGAGAAAGAGAACCATCCATTAGAGAGAGAAACAATGATCAGCTGCCTCCTGCACACCTCCTATTGGGGATGGAGCCCACAACCTGGGAATATGCCCTGACTAGGAATCGAACCAGGATCTCTCAGTCCATGGGATGATACCTAATCCACTGAGCCACACCAGCTGGGTTGGGTTGCAGGTTTGATCCCCAGCCCCAATCAGGGTGTGTGCAGGAGGCAACTAATCAATGTGTCTCTCTTATTGATGTTTCTCTTTCTTGTTCTCTTCCTCTCTCTCATGTGCCCTCTCTCCCCTCCACTCTCTCTAAAAGCAATAGAAAAAATATCTTTGGGTGAGGATTAACAATAATAAAAGAATAATAGGCATACCAGAAGAAGAACAAAGAGAGGGAAAAAGAAACAGAGCCTATACAATACAAATACTGTAGTTGATGAGAACTTCCCAAACCTATGGAAAAAACTAGATCCTCAAATCCAAGAAACAAACAGAACACCTAGTTACCTCAATCCAAAGAGGCCTTCTCGAAGGCAAATTGTGTTAAACTGTCAAAAATTATTGACAAGTCTTAAGGCAGCCAGGGAAAAGGAGAAAGTTAACCTATAAAGGAAAGCCCATTAGGTTATCATGGGACTTCTCAGCAGAAACTCTATAAGTCTGAAGAGAATAGAATCAAATATTTAAACTACTGAGAGAATCTACCAGCCAAGAATAATATATCCAGCAAAGTTACCCTTTATTTATTTACTTGTTTTTTTAAATCCTCACCTGAGGATATTTTTCCATTTATCTTTAGATAGAGTGGGAGTGAGGGAGACACATCAACTGGTTGCCTCCCACACGACCCCTACTGGAGCCAGGGACTGAACTGCAACAGAGGTACATGCCATTGACGGGAATCAAATCCACGACTCTGGTCTTCGTGCCAATGCTCTAACTGCTGAGCCAAACTGGCCAGGGCACAAAATTACCCTTTAATTATGAAGGAGAAATAAAGACTTCCAGACATACAGCAGCTGAGGGAATTTATCACCAGAAGACCTACATTGCAGAGAATACTCAAGGGGGTTATTCTACTCGAAACAAAGAACAAAAGGTCACAAAACTACGAGTAAGGTCAACAACAAACTTACAGCATAAACGGATAATTTTGAAAAACATAAAATGGGAGAGGGTAAAGGTCTGAATTTGCAAAGGAGGGTGGAGATCAGATGCATTAAAAAAAAAAAAGACTACAGCCCTGGCCAGTTTTGCTCAGTGGTTAGAGCGTCGGCCCCTGGTCCAGAGAGACCTGGGTTCAGTTCCCGCTAAGGACACATACCTCGGTTGCAGTTTGTCCCTGGCCCTGGTTGGGTCATGTGGGAGGCAGCCACTTGATGCGTCCCTTTCACGTCGGTGTTTCTTTCTCTCTTCCTCTCTCTCGCTCCCACTCCCACTCTATCTGAACAAAAAATGGAAAAATATCCTCAGGTGAGGATAAAAAAAAGAAAAGAAAAAGGACTACAGTATATATGAAACTTTCTTTTTCATAAACCTAATGGTAAACACACACAAAAAGCCCCAAACCGAGAAATAGCTTAAAAAAAGAGGAAACAGAAAGAAGTATGTAACACCACTAAACAAAAACAACAGACAGAAACACGAAGGAAAAGAACCTATGGAGGCACAGAGCTACCAGAAAGCAAAAGGTAAAATGGCTATAGAAAATCCTCATACATCAATAATTACCCTATCCCAGCCAGTATGGCTCAGTGGTTGAGCGTCAACCCATGAACCAAGAGGTCGCCAGTTCAAATTCCAGTCCAGGCACATGCCCAGGTTGTGGGCCTGATCCCCAGTGAAGGGCATGCAGGAGGCAGCCAATCGATGTTCTTTCTCATTGATGTCTCTATCTCTCTCCCTCTCCCTTACTCTCTAAAATCAATAAAGAAAAATTATAAAAAATAAATAATATTACCCTAAATGTAAATGGACTGAATTCAGCAATAAAGAGGCACAGAGTAGCAGAGTGGATTAAAAAACAAAACCCAATCGTATGCTGCCTTCAGGAGACACAACTAAGCTGCAAAGACAAAGTTGGATTCAAAGTAAAAGGGTGGAAGGTGATTCTCCAAGCAAATAACATCCACAGAAAAGCAAGTGTAGTCATACTTATTTATGGCAAAACACATTTAAAGATAAGACAAAAATAGACAATTTATAATGATAAAAGGGACACTATATCAAGAAAACATAACACTTCTTAATATATATGCACCCAATCAGGTAGCAGCAAAATATATAAAGCAAGTACTACAAGAACTAAAGGGAGAATATGACAAAAACACAATCACAGTTGGGGACCTAATACTCCATTGACAATTCTAGACAGATCACCCAAACAGAAAATTAATAATCAAATATCAGCTTTAAACGACACATTAGACCAAATGGACATAATGGACATTTACAAAGCCTTTCATCCAAGAACCTCAGTTTATACATTCTTTTCTAGTGCACATGGTACACTCTCAAGTAGAGATCATATGTTGGGTCACAAAACTAGCCTCAACAAATTCAAGAAGACTGAAAATACACCAAGCATATTCTCTGACCACAATGCTTTAAAATTAGAAATCAACTGCAAAAAAGGAACCCACAAATATTTCGAAATTAAAAAAACATACTACTAAAAAGTGACTGGGTCAAAGAAGAAATAAAAGGTGAAATCAAAAGATATATATGAGAATGACAATACAACATATCAAAACTTCTGGGATGCAGCAAAAGCAGTAATAAGAGGGAATTTTATATATTATAGGCCTATCTCTAGAAATGAGAAATCCCAAGTAAACAATCTAACATTATATGTTTTTTTAAAAAATGTTTTTATTGATTTCAGAGAGAGGAAGGGAG